GCGGAAAGGGGTTGGGAACTGGCCCCTATCGGAACCGTCATGAGGCTCAGCCAGAAGGGGAAAATTGTGATAGAAGTGGCGCAACTCCCCGGATTACTCCCACTTCAGGGCAAGAACAGCAAAACGAATCTGAATTATCTACACAAATTGATAGACAGAATGGATATCAGCCAGAGCGAACTACCGTCAGAGCTGACCCACCCTGTCCTGAATCAGAGATAGTCACAAATAATGTCAGAGAGAGAAAGACAAAGCAACAGTGGACTATCACCCAATACAAAGACCTAATGTGGTCTTATTATTTTGCTTCTGAGATTAAAATGGAAGCACCTAAAACTAAAGGCACTTATTCAATATGGAGAGAGAGAAACCCTAATGTATTTCCCAAGATGGACCCAATAAAACTAAATAACCAGAGGAACCAAATTGAGAAAAGGAAATGGCTAACTAACATCGAACTAAATGAGATTAAAGAAAATGTACAAAAATACATTAATCACCAAAAACAATCAGAAGTACTGCCTGAACCGGAACGACAAGAACTACTGCCTGAACCAGAACAGCAAACACTGAATGGAACTAACACTACGTTCACAGAATATGAAAACATAGCTGTAAGAAATATATGTGAACTAGTCGATATAAACAGTGACGATAATGATGACAGAATGCATGAAATGGAAATCAAATTACGAACTAAGATATTGGCCATACAACACATGGATTTAAGAAAAAGAATGAAACTGAAGCATCCCAAATGTGATAAAACTCTATATGCTGAGATAGAAATAGCCAATAAAGTATTGGCTAAGTTAGCTAAAGAACATCCTCTGAATATAACTGAGATCAATACATACATATATGCAGCAGCATCAATCATAGCTGGTGATGTAGAGATCACGTCTAAACAATCAACAAAAGACCCATCCTGGAAGAGAAGGTTACAAAGCAAGATCAATGAGGACAGAAAAAGTCTCTCAATTCTTAAAGAAATCCAGAACGGAGTAGCCACTAAACACGTTCACTATCAAATCGATATACTGCTTCGAAAAGAGGGCATATCCAAATACTGTATGCTTAAAATGGACATACTTATCCAAAACACAAAGATGCGACTTCAAGCCAGGGCTCAGAGACTGAGACGATACGAAAGTAGATGCCAACAGTACATCCAGAACAAAATGTTTAACGAAAATACAAAGAAATTTTACCGACACATTAGCGGACAACAGGATGTCATCTCGGAACCTCCTTCTCAAGAGAATGTGGAGACTTTCTGGAGTGACATAATGGAAAATGACCTAAAGCACAATTCTGAGGCACAATGGATTAAGGAAGAACATCAATTACACCAACAAGTAACACCACAACTATGGCAAGATCTAAGCCTAAATGACATAAAAAAGATCATAAAGAAAGCCCAAAATTGGAAAGCTCCTGGACTTGACAAAGTACAGAATTTCTGGATTAAGAACTTTAAAGCCCTGCATGAAGACCTAGTCAGAGCATTTAATGACTTAATTAAAGAACCAAGAAGAATTCCTGAGTGGATGACTACCGGATCCACTTTCTTACAATATAAGGGCAAAGACTCCAAAGACCCAAAAAACTACCGACCAATCACATGTTTGCCGACCATGTATAAAATTCTTTCGGCAGCGGTGGCAAATAAACTATATGACCACCTACTTAATAGCAACATCCTTCCTGAAGAACAAAAAGGATGTCGGAAAGGAACAAGAGGATGTAAAGATCAACTCCTTATTAGCAAAATGGTTATCGAGGATGCGAAAAAAAGGAAAAAGAATCTCGCCATGGCATGGGTAGATTATAAGAAAGCATTTGACAGCGTGCCGCACTCTTGGATTTTGGAATCCCTAAAAATATACAAAGTAAGCCCAATAATCATCCAATTTTTAAAAGAGTCAATGAAAGAGTGGAGTACAGAAATGTCTCTATTTCACCAGAACGGCACTCTGCAGACCAGAAAGATCGCAATAAACCGAGGAATTTTTCAAGGGGACTCTTTATCACCACTACTTTTCTGTGTTAGTCTCGTCCCTCTAACCAATCTTATCAACAAACAAGACCTAGGCTATGAGATATCTGAGAACAATAAAGTCAGTCATCTCTTTTATATGGATGACCTTAAAACATTTGTAAAAAACGAGGAAGAGCTAAGACAAGCACTGCACATCATTAAAACATTTAGTGATGATATCAAAATGGAATTTGGCCTAGATAAATGTGGAACTGTAATAACTAAACGCGGCAAGTATTCCCACAGCCAAAACATTCAGCTAAACGACGGATCAGTTATCAAAAATCTGGAACAAGATGATATATACAAGTATCTAGGAGTAGATGAATGCAGTGACATCCAGCACGATCAAATGAAAATTAAAATTAAGAAGGAATATTACCGTCGAGTGCGTCTTGTGCTTAAGACCCATCTTAACTCGAAAAATAAAATGAAAGCAATCAACAGCTTAGCAGTACCAGTGCCCACATACAGTTTCGGAATAATAGACTGGAGGCGAGATGAAGTCAAAGAAATGGATAGAAAAACACGTAAACTACTAACCTTGCATGGAATTCATCATCCAAAAGCCGATGCAGACAGAATATACATCAAACGAAAAGATGGTGGGCGTGGTTTATCCGAGCTCGAATCAGCCTATGGTATTGCAGTAACTGGCCTCAGCAAGTATGTGGTACAAAGTAACGACAGATTAATAAAAATGGTAAATAGGCATGATAATAATAAATCGAAATACTCTCTGACCCAACTAGCAAGTACCATTAAAGACCGCTATATACAGCCAACAAAACAAAGTGCTGATAATTTGAGATGCGAAATAGCAGACAACTCCCACAAACTGAGAGATGCCATCGAACACGACAGGATAGAACGTGTAAAGAAGAAACCACTACACGGTCAATTTCTCAAATACTTAAATCAGCCACATGTAGACAAGGATGCCAGTATAGCGTGGCTACGTGGATCAGACCTGAAGGGAGAGACCGAAAGTTTGATAATCGCAGCTCAGGATCAAGCCTTAAACACCAGATATCACCAAAATCGAATACTTGGTATACAAATAGACAGCAGATGTAGAATGTGTGGAAAAGCAGAAGAGACAACCGCGCATATACTAAGTGCATGCACCACACTTGCTGCTACCGAGTATACTCATCGGCACAACAAGGTAGCTAGTTATATACATTGGTCAATCTGCAAACAACTTGGAGGTGAAGTACCCGACAAATGGTTCGAGCATGTACCAATGCCAGTGGTAAATATACAGGAAATCACAATCATGTGGGATTACCCCATACGAACAGATCGGACCATTAACGCCAACCGCCCCGATATAGTATACCACAACAGAAAAGAAAAGATCTGTTTACTTATTGACATCGCTATTCCCAGTGATCAGAACATCATGGTTAAAGAGGCGGAGAAAATTTCCAAATACAAAGACCTTCAGATAGAAGTTCAGAGAATGTGGAATGTAAAGGCCAAGGTTGTGCCAGTAATAGTAGGGACTTTGGGGTTAATCAAAAGAGGATTTGGTGACCATCTAAAACAAATCCCCGGTAAAGCAAATGCATACGAAGTCCAGAAAATAGCATTGTTAGGGTCTGCACACATCCTCCGAAGAATACTAACCTGATATGAAGCCTAAAAAAAAAAAAAATATATTTACAACCTATTAAAATCCCAAGAGCTTTGGTAAAGCTTCGGATAAAATACCTACCCAGCTGCTCGAGACTGAGGTAGTGCAACAAAACAATAATAATAATAATAATAATAATAATAATAATAATAATAATAATAATAATAATAATAATAATAATAATAATAATAATAATAATAATAATAATAATAATAATAATAATAATAATAATAATAATAATAATAATAATAATAATGACTTTATTGCTTTCAATACATACAAATTATTATACAAAATTATATAAATATACATAAAAAAATACTGAAAGACAAAAGGCGACGTTCGCACTTACTGGCGAGCTCAAAGATTGAGCCAGCAAATAAGCAGCGCTCTTCCTTTTAAGAAGATTTTGACTAAAGATATATGGTTCAGAACAGGGTGAGGAGACTCAAGACGATTTATAGCAGTACATTATTTAAATTTGGATGAAAACCATCTAAAAAATGTGCCTGCTTTTCATTCTCTGACCGGTTGTGATATAACCAGCCAATTGTCCGGCATTGAGAAAAGAACCTGTTGGAAAACCTACCTTGAACACCATTACTTTTTAGATGGATTTGGCACTGATCAGTACTCTGAAAACATATTCTCTAATCTTGAAAGAATTTTAAAAATTTATTCAAAACTGCCAATGTTACTTCCATTAACATTTTGAGGGGAATATTGGCCTCTTAAAAAACCATCGCTAAATTGCCACCGACTGAAGACGCCCTAAGACTAAATTGTTTAAGATACTTTTACCAGCTAATTATTTGGCTAAGCTCTTTAAACCCAGATGCAGCTTCCTAATGTTGAAGAGTATGGATGGATAATAGATCAAGATGGAAGTCTGATACCCACTTTTAAGACTCTGCCCGACCTGCCACCAGACATAACAGAACTTACATCATGCAAATGCAAAAAAGGTACTATACAATAATAATATTCTGTTCTAGACTGTGGAAGCAAAATTTGCAAATGCAGAAAAAAAAATATTTGCTGTATCGGTTCCTGCACCTGTATAGAACAGAAAAACCGCAAAAATAGTTTGACCACAGCCGATAATGTTTTGGAAAATGTTGATTTGTGTGGTGAATCTGATTCTGATTAGTTTGAAAGTCTTGTAATTATAAATTTTAATATTATTAATTTATGTTTATATATTTCCTTCCAATTAATATTATTATAATTTATTTGTATTGGGGATTTATTGTATTTTGCAAAGCAATGGCCTTACTGTTTATAATGGATACTTCAATAAATACCTTCAATAAATAGTTTATATTTTCTTATTTTTCATTTTCCTCCAAAAATTTAAAAAAATCTTGAAGTAATTAATACACCCTTTTATTCATAGTGGATCAATATTCAATAATCCCTGTATAAAATATTATAAGAGAGTCAAACTGACTGCATACATTTCAATACTGAGAGAGATTCATAGAGGGTCGAGAGGCTCTGCCTTTAATGTTTGCTTTCTAGTAAAACCATGACATCACTAATTGTTTATTGCTAGATTTTTGTTAATTTAAAAGCAAAAAATATGAGGAAAGTACTTTTACCTTGTCAATACATAGGCGAAAGTTTTATAAGGAATAGTTTTTTTTCATTTAGGCCTTCGTTTTTCGTCAAATGAGAGGTATATTTCTAAAAGAAGA